TATATGTACATATATATTTAAATAATTAAAATGTTCAAACCAAAATTAAGCGCACAACTGAACATAATTTAGAGAATGTAATTTGTAATTTTACATGCATGCATACATATATTCTCTGACACAAAAATTGCTTAAATGACACCTAACAGACACTTCTGTCATCGAATAAACACTTTAGAGCGACACCAACAAAATTTTGTGGTTGAACAAACTATTTAATTAGAATTTAAGTGCCTCTTTATTTATCTAACCCAGCATTTCTATCTAATTCGCAGCTGAATAAAGTGTCAAAGGCAAGATGAAAGTGCCCTTTTCGAAAGCCACACTGTGGAAATATGTGTTCCTGGTGATAAATTGTTTGATAACTGTGAGTATTGAACAATTGCTGTAAACAAATTAGTATACTTGCATTGCCAAGATGTAGATATGCGCTAAACTATAACGATTTCTCATGTTCTACTGGACCGAATTGCCTGAAAGTTTTTTTGGAGAGTTTTCTTTAATGACTTTTCTATGACTGAAAGTAACTTTTATTTGTTTATATTTATCCAACAGCCAACAATACTTGAACAATACTTGTTTTTGGCAGTGGCCATTTGGTGAAAAAATAATTGCCCAGCTAGATAAAACCGGATTTAGCGACATTACTCTAGTACGGGGGAGAGTTAAAAACCAATAATTTTTTTCTATTAAAGCGTCTCATGAGAATAAATGCGCAAAAACTTCTATAAGATGTAGYATTTCACGCCACATTAAATCGCATCGAAATATTGAGGCTAACCTCTCGTCATTGATCGAAATTCGTTGTCAGAAAAATTTTACTACTTAACTGGATGTACAGATTACTGAATGAGAATTCTTCTAAAATCATTGAAAATTTATAATTTGGGAATGTTTACATTCCAACAAGATACAAAATATTTCGTCGGATTGATGCAAAATCAATTTGTTATAATAAAAAATATTATTTCAATTAATCTTAAGACCTTTTATGTATTTTCGAAACAAATTATTTTCTTATTATATATGTATATTCACATTATTCGGAACGGCGTAAGCACATTTGATCTTCCAAAGGTAGATCATTCAAGCTCATAAAAATGTCACGCATTTAGACATTTATTGGAACGACGATAAACAAAAACGATAATCGCTTGAAAAATCTGAAATAAATATGTACTGCAAAATTTTGTAGCGGACACTACGCGATCGTATTTCAAATTATTTTCTTATTGCAGCATTGCATTTATTGCGTAGAATATTGACCACATATATGTATGTCTGTAGTTCTAGACCTGTAAAAACAAATCCATATACATACATAATTGTATTTTCTTAGTTGTGAATTAAATTAACACAGATATCTGATTTTAGTATTGAGTGTCTAACTAAAAACTCGTTGGTTGTTTTGATAAAAGTAAGCAATTGTTTAACTGATTGGTAATAATTCTTCCCAGACTGGTTTAGGCTAATTTCAGGTATATTTCGGCTTTTTCGACTTGAAGCTTGCTCAAAATTATCAGAGGTTATTTTCACATTGTAAGAAGTCTTCCCCTTCCTAAGTTCATGACGTCCGGAACCGGTATATATTTCAATGAAGTGCACTTCAAAAAAAGGAATGGGACAAAACTTTCGTAGTCTCTACTTGTATCATACGTAGTARAACCATTAAGTTCTTTATAAGAGAAGAGGAAAGATATATACCGATGAGAGGGATGAGAGGAAYATATATATCGAAGTCAGCCACTTTTGATACCAAACCGCATTAATTAAGAATTTTTCCAAGTTCAATTCACACATTTCTCTTTTATTATTATTATAGATTATTGTGGGGGGGGGGGGGGTGAGAAATTTCCAAGTCACGGTGGTGGTACTAGGTCAGTATAGTAAAACCGTCAAAGGGTTTGGCGTTCGTATGTGTCAGTTTTTTTTAGGACCTCATGACTCCTTTTTTCCTTATCATGATGTTTTTTGGCTTAGTTGTAACATTTTGGCAAAAAAAAAAAAAAAAAAAAAAAAAAAAAAAAAAAAAAAMAATTTCCGAGAATGCTCTTAACATCCTTGCGACAGAAACATCGTAGTTGTTAGAACGATGCTTTCCCAACCGGCCTTCTACTACTTCTTTGATTGCCTGCCATGCATTCAATATATATCAATCAAAATATTGTTGAATGTGTCACTTTTAATCAGCTTTCGTATATCTGGACCATTTAGTACGCCTGATTGGAAAAAATTAAATGGGAAATAAGGAAAAATTTAAAAGGTCATAAAAAAAAACTGACACATACGAATGCCAAACCCTTTGAGGGTTTTACTATACTGACCTAGTACCATCACCCTGACTTGGAAATTTCTCACCCCCCAGATTAGCTGTTGTACTGTGTTATTTGAGTAAAGTTAAAGCAACGATTAAACTTCGTGCATTCGTTGATCGGCGACAGGTGTGGCTAAGAACTTAGTACCCTAATTTTCTAAAGATTTTTACTCCATATCAATCACTTGCAATTATATTTTTCAAAAAACTCTCAGAGAAGCAGAAAATTACAAATTATTTTTTAATTTTAGGCCTTCGACGTYTTACTCATCTCATGCGGAGTCGTTTCCCTAGGCGGTGCCGGCTCTTTARCCGGTGCCTACACTGCAGCCTCCATTGGGTTTCTCGCAATGTTCATTGCTTTTATGGGTGCCATGGCATCGGTGCGTCAATCACTGATTCTGTCTTGGGCGGTGAGTGAGTGGCCAGGCAGAGACCACTAAGCGAGTTAATTTACGAAAAGTTTTCGAATAATATTTTTATACAACTTTTTGTTTAATTTCGTAGTACATAGTCACGACAGTGCTGTGCATAGTTTTGGAAACGATTTGTATGATCGCATTTGGCATACTCAAGGATGACTTCTATTTAATGGCGGTCAAGCGCGTGCAAGGCATTTGGGATGAGCGGCCAGAGACCCAGGAGGAAATGGAYGAAATTCAAGAACAGGTGGAGGCGACAAATTCTCTTGCAATAACGTCTTTAAGATTATTTAAATCAATTTTATTTCTTTATAGCACCATTGCTGCGGTCGCGACAGTCCACAAGATTATTTGCCCGACAAACAGCAAACTCTACCTTCGASTTGTTGTCGCTGGGCCGATTGCTCGGATGATAAGAATATTTTCGCCAGAGGTTGTGTTGATGCGGCGACGTGTTTTCTCAACCAACAAAGTGACAATCTTGTTTTGATCATTGTTGGTCTGATTGCTGTGCAGGTAAAGTGCGAATTGGATAAGTACATACTATACATATATAGCTCATAAAACTTGTTTGGACAATTTTAAATATTTTTAAGCAAACATTTTTGTACAAAAAAAATCGATGTTAGAACAAGTTTAGCATTTTTCAATTATCTCAAGATATGAAATAAAATAAAGGAAGGCGGGAGCTATTCTATCTATTCCAATTCTAACTCACATTTTTAAAACATATTTTTAAAACATTTTTTTGTATTTTTTTTGCTTTTCTTTTAGGTTTTTGGCGTGATTGCTGCCTATTACTTTACTCGTAGTATGGTTAATCTTAAACAGAAACGTGAACAAATCATCATCAATGAGTAAAACGGAATTATTTTYTACCACAAAATGGGACCTAAACTGGAAAAATTTGTGGAAATAAAATATTCCTTTTAGTAATAATACGTAACAAAATCTAAACTGAAATATTGTTTAAGAAATAAAGTATTTAAATTGCAAAACTATCTATAAAGAAGTCAAATCATTACAGAAAAAAATTAAATTATATATATATATATATTTTTTTTTTTAAGGAAGGTGTGGAAATTTAACAGTATCTGCAGATATTGTCGCAGTGCTTTGAAAATTAGACTAAATTTTTGTGCAGATATCAGTGTACCCAGAAACGTCAATAAGTTCTCACTTAAAAAAGCATGACAACGTTGAATGTCGAAGAGCCCTTGTGGTACGATTTCGAGCGACATGGTAACCCATTAATTTTCGCGTATTGTAAGAAAACGTCTGACATGGCATCCAGTGT